TCTGCCCCATTCATTCCTCCCAGCCAGGTGTCCCCTGGGGTCCTGGCAAAGAGACCACCTGTAAGGACTGGCCCTCACTCTCAGGCAGACCCCTATCGGCCTGCCCCGCCCCGTAACCAGTCATGCCCTGAGTGTGGCTCCTGGGCAAGAGTCATGCCTGCACATGCGTGCGTGCCTCCGAGCAGAGGCTGCTGCCTGCACGGGGTGGGCGGGCTCCTGCAGCCCGGGGGCAGCCTGGCTGTGTGGCAGTGAGCAAGAGTCGTTGGTGTACATGAGAGTTCTCTACAGCAGTCGGGGGCCACATGGCACAGGGTGCTTCCAGATGCTTACCCAGATCCTCAGACTGGGTTTGCCCCCAAGCCAGTGAGACCCTAAGGTGTAAGGGGGCAAGTGAGCCCCTTGGATTCCCGGTACAGCCAAGCACAGCTCTGGGTCACTCATGCCTGGTCTGAAGGGTCTTAACGCCCCAACTCCTAGCTGTCCTCTCCCTTCCGGACAAGTCTGTGGGACAGAGGAGGTGGCGTGGCACAGCTGGGCAGTGGGCCAACCCAGGAGGGACGGCTGAGCCTCATCTCCTGACTCTTAAAACACCTTTACACCCACGTGCCTGGTGGGAGCCTGAGCCCGGCTCTGGCCGCCCTCAGGACACGTGTGCTCAGCAGGCCACTTCTATGTCTGCTTTACAATGTGCCAAACACAGGACTCTCATAGGGGATTGTGACAGTCATTAAGAAGTCCCAAGCCAAAATGTCAGGTGTGCAGTGAAACAACACTGCTTTATCTGAGGTGTGCTAACGTGGGTTTTCCGTGGCAACAAACGGAGCATGAGCTGCTGGCACGTGTGTTAGAGCACATTAGAAGGACACCAGGCCACTTTCTCAGGCGGGAGCGGACAGCAAGGGAGCCTGATCTCTGTGTGTGGTGTCCTCCCTTGGGTCTCTCCCCCTAAGCAGGTGTGTGAGGACATTGAGGAGTCCCTTCCCCTTCCCAGGAGGATTAATGAGGGGGGGTCTCCGTAGACTGCTGTCTTCCAAAGATGGCAACTGCAGGGACATGATGCCACTCACACGTGCGGCACAGCCCTGGGACACTTTCCAAGGAAAGATCCTGCTGTCGTGGACACTGGCTCCTTGGGTGCTTGTTCCTCAGGGCAGATGACGCCCCCGTCCACTGACCTCAAGGGCCAGGACAAGCCTTGAGCATTGGATCCTTTCGGGCCTCTGTGTAGACCTGGGCACGGCATCTGTGAGGGAGATGATGGGTCCATTCTCCACGCAGCGTGGCCACAGAAGGGCTTCCAGGAGGGACCGCTTGCAACCTACCGTTTGTGCTTCATTTCAGAGAATGCCTCCCCGAGTGAGCTACGGGACCTGCTGTCAGAGTTCAACCTTCTGAAGCAGGTCAACCACCCTCACGTCATCAAGCTGTATGGGGCCTGCAGCCAGGACGGTGAGACTGGCCGTGGGGTGGGGCGGGCACAGGGTGGGGGCTCCGGGCAACCCTGTTTTCCCTCTTCCCTGCTTTCCCATCCTTTCCTTCCCCGCCCCTTGTTCTCCCTCCTCCCGAAGCCTCGGCTTCTGGCTCCAGTCTCAGCCTGGAGCTTGTGTCTAGCTGTCCACTGGCCAAGCAGGCACTTCCTGTCAGAGGGGGCACCTGCTAGTGGCACTCTTTGGGCCTGCTGGGGTTGCTCAGAGGGCTCCAGTGTGATATCCCAGTTGTCAGCACCCTGTTCTGGGCCGAGCCCCCAGGGCAGGGAGCTCCAGGAATGGGAGGTGCATCTTGGGTACTCAGAGACACAAGGTGTGCCGTGACCTCCAGGTGACCCCAACTTCAGCCTTACATGGCAGGAGCATTGTCACCATTTCTCAGATAAGGACACAGAAGACAGGCCTGGTCTGGTGGTTTTCCAAACCCGCTGTGCTGCTCAGGGGCAGGGGCGTGGGTGTGTGTGTGTCTGTCTGTCTGTTTTGGGGGAGTGAGGGGCTCAGGGAACAACAGGGAGAGGGCAGCAGGCACCCTGGTCCGCACCAGCAGGGCTCGGGGCTGGGCCCAGGGAGCTGTTGAGAACAGGCTGTGCGCAGAGCCGCGGCATCTGCGGCCGGCCTCTGCCTGGGTCACTGCTCCTCGGCCCGCGCTGCCGCAGAGATGCGGGGATGCGGGATGCGGGAGGTCCCGGCAGCGCGGGGTGCCTCCCAAGGCAGGGCTGAGCGCAGGGTCGCCTGCCTCGGGCACCCCCAGAGGGCGGCATCACACGGCAGCTGGAGGCACGGACTCGAGAGCCCGCTGGGACCTACGGGGCCCCGCGCGCACGGAGCTCGGCCAGGCCCGCCTGCCCCTCGCCGGTAGCGTGGCCGGTACTCCTTCCGCACGCCCAGGCCCCTCTCTGCCCACAGGGCCGCTGCTCCTCATCGTGGAGTACGCCAAGTACGGCTCCCTGCGGGGCTTCCTGCGCGAGAGCCGCAAGGTGGGGCCCGGCTACGTGGGCAGCGGAGGCAGCCGCAACTCCAGCTCCCTGGACCACCCGGACGAGCGCGCTCTGACCATGGGCGACCTCATCTCGTTCGCCTGGCAGATCTCGCGGGGGATGCAGTACCTGGCCGAGATGAAGGTGTGTGCCGCGGGGCGGCGCCGCTCCTCCCGCCACGCCCCCGCCGCCCGGCCCTGGCCACGCCCCTGCCCGCCGCCTGGCCACGCCCGGCCCTGGCCACGCCCCCGTCGCCCGGCCGTGGCCACGCCCCTGCCCGCCGCCTGGCCACGCCCGGCCCGGCCTGAGGAGTACTCTATTTTCTCTCTGGAAGCTCGTCCACCGGGACTTGGCTGCCAGAAACATCCTGGTTGCCGAGGGAAGGAAGATGAAGATCTCGGACTTTGGGCTGTCGCGAGATGTGTACGAAGAGGACTCCTACGTGAAGAGGAGCAAGGTGCCCGGGCCCAGGGTGATGCGGGGCTCCTGGCGCGGGGCTGGGGCGGCGCCCGTAACACACCCGAAAAAGATAAGGCCCATTTTTCAGAGCGCGACACTTTTTCTAGTCCTCATCCCCACTCCCTCCCAATCGTGAGTCCCCGAGCCCCAGTTCGGGACCCCCGCGCGTGCGCTTTCCAAGGCCGCCTAGCGCCGCCCAAGTGCAGCCCTCTTCGTAGTTGTCCGCTCTGCAGGAGCAAAATGTCCCCATGCTGTGTAAGTTTAGCTCTCTGCTCAAAGGAGGGCGAAAGGAAATAAGCAGAAAGGAACGAACTGCTTTTGCTTTACAAGTGGGGGTTCTCCCAGCAGGGCCTGGGAGTCCTGGGCGGGGTGCGTTTGAGGGCCACGCAGGAGCCCCCTGGAGATGAGATGCAGCTCAGGAGTCTCCCGTTGTCCAAGCCCAGGAAACAGGTGGTCAGTGCCCTTCTGGGGACATCTGGTTTCACAACATCGTCCTATTCCTCTGCAACCTCCTTGATCCTTAGTTTGGTCTCAGCCTGCCCCTGTCCTGCAGCCTCCAGGTGACAGCCCAGGCGGTGTGCGTTCAGGGGCTGTTTAAGGGTCACACTGACCAGACATTCAGAGCAAACTTGCTCAATAAAAGAAAAAAACAATACAGCTTCACTCTGAGGGGTCTAGAGAAGCCATTTGTGTTGTCATGGCTTGTGAGGACAAGGTTTCGTTTCTTCTGGGGTTTCCGTTGCGACAGCAGATCTCAGAACTGCTGAAGGGGAAGTGTAAGGGGCTGCTCCCCCGCCAGGGGAGGGTGTGGGCAGAGCCTTCCTGTTGACGCCCTGGTCCTCCAGGGAGGCCTGAGTCCTGGCGGGAGAAGCGGAGAGCAGGCTGCCAGACTGCAGGCACATTGTCATTCACACAGTCCCAAGACAGGTCACACTTCATCAGGGACATAAATCCTTAAGAATACTTTTAAGAAAAAGAAACTACAGTAAATGTTATGTTACAATCCAAGACATGCATTTTTTAAATTGCTTTGTGCCTTAAGACTTACCTGTAGAAAAGCTATTTCTCAAGTTGCATTGGAAAGGATTTGTTAGGTCAGACCCCAGCAGGGCTTCTGGGAAATGCCTGTCTGTGCAGTTATTCAGAGCTGCTAAAAGGCCCCTGGGATTCAATAGGAGGGAAAAACCAGCCTCAAGACACATAAACAGATTCCGTCCCTCGGTGCTCTTCAGAGGAGCCTTTAGTGTGTCAGCTAGTGTCAGACATTCCCCAGATGGAAACGCTAGATGTTGGTTTCCCAAACACATTTGCCCTGAGAACATCCAGAGAGATCTTGCTCTAGGTATCCTTGGCCTGCCTGTAGAGGCATGTGGCACGTGACAAGCTGGCCCTGTGTGGCTGTGGGTGGACGCTGATGCCCGCCAGCATCTCAGCAAAGCCTGGGAGGTGCCAGCTGGGGCCCTGGCCCCTTGAGGCTGTGCACAGCCGGCTGTGTGCCAGGAGCAGCCACAACACTCCTTCCAGAACCGGAAGCTCAGGGCATGGCCTGACCTCCTTCCCCCCTGCTTCCCTGGGCATCAGAGTAATTGCAGGGCCTTTCTTTCGCCCCCTCTTCAGGGTCGGATTCCAGTCAAATGGATGGCAATCGAGTCCCTGTTTGATCATATCTACACCACCCAAAGTGATGTGTAAGCGCGGGTGTTGCCTGCCTGGGGCGGGGGTTCCTTACATGCATGGGGAGCCACGATGCTTATCTGTGGAGCTCACCAGGGAACAGTGCTGTCCCTGAACACCTGTCTGCAATGCCGGCCACCTGCACTGACCCCCACGCTCAGCGGCCTTCACGACATATTTGCTCAGCAAATGGCCAGGCCCGGGCAGTGGTTCTGAAACCTAGATGGAACCTGTGAGAGCAGAGCAGGTGGCCGAGAACCCACCTGCCGCCCCCACAGGCCCACTCACAGGCCCAGCCAACAGTGGCCTTCCTGTGGGTCCTGAGCAGGGGGTCGGTTCAGGCAAGGCACTCTGTGACTGTTCCCCCACCCACAGGGGGGGACTGGGGGCCCCAAGGGAGGTGTCCTCATGTCAGTTTGTAGGCTGGTGTGCCCCAAACTGCTGCAAGGTGGGAGCTAAAATTTGTTCTTCCAGGTCAAATTATAAGACCTGACAGTTTTTAAAAACACAGCACACTTGCTTCTAAAGTATTCAGCAGTCGACAGACTTGCATATTTTGAACAATGTCAGCTGTGAGAAAGAGGTTCGAAGTAATTTTAGACAACAGTTTTCTGATCGCATAAGCTGCCTGTAGGATGATTGGAAAATGCAGAGAAAAGCATGAGGTAGAGGCTAGAAGTCCCTGGATCACACGCCCGGTGGCCCCTGCCAGCCTTCCAGTGTGTTCTGCAGTATACATGTGTATACTTTACATTGCCCTGGTGGGCTCGTGTGATGATGCTGTTTTGTGACATGACCTTGTTCCCGCTTCACAGTAAATTTTCCTTCACACTGAAACATTTTTCTCGCTGGTCCGATGATAGTGTGTTATCAGAACTCATTAACATTAGTGTCACTAAAGGTGGTATACAACCCCCCACTGCTAAATCTGACTAGCTTAAAAAAAATGTTTTAAAATTTAAAGAATAAAAATATATATTTTTTTTATAGCTTTTTTTCTTATAAGATTTTACAAAGATGTCCCAAGTACACAGAAAAAGTGAAAGCGCTGCCCAGGGCACCCAAGTCCCGTTGCATAGGTTCTCACCCCGTTAGGTGCCAGCTGCTGTCCCCCTTGGGGGAGTGGCTTCTCTGGGGCAGGGACTTCAGCATGACATGACGGGGTGGGGGCCAGGTAGGCAGGCATCGGCAGTGCAGCCAGACACAGCTGCGGTCTGGAAGCCACTCTCTACACTGGGGCCGACGGCGTCAGCGGGTGCTGGGGGATGGACGTCTGGGCTCCGCGGAGGGCGCCTCAGGGGCCTCACCATGGGCCGGGTAAATCCCTCAGTGGTCCGCTCAATTGCTGCAGGTGGTCCTTTGGAGTCCTGCTGTGGGAGATCGTGACCCTGGGGGGCAACCCCTACCCTGGGATTCCTCCTGAGCGGCTCTTCAACCTTCTGAAGACTGGCCACCGGATGGAGAGGCCGGACAACTGCAGCGAGGAGATGTGAGCGGGGTTTGCTCTGGCCCAGCCTCACTTGGGAGGGGAGGGGACACATGCACCCATTCCCTCCCACTCTTGAGCAGCCTGCTGCCCTGGAGAGGTGGGTCATGGGGAGTGGCAGGGTGGAGGTTAGAGGGCCACCCTTGGTGTGGTGGCAGACACTGGGCCCCTGACCCTCCTGCGGGGTATGGGGGTTCCTGGGGGGCCTTACTAGGATAAGTGGAAGCAGGGCCTGGAACAGTGCAAGCTCGACCTGGAGACCTTCCCCGCAGGGCGCCTGGGGAGGGGTTCGTCATCCAGAAAGGCCGGGGCTGTGGGGTGGGGAGTGTCCGAGTGTAGGTGCAGGGGCAGCCTGGACCTCAGCCTGAGTGCACTGGAGCCTTCACACCTCACACTGGGCTGTTGGATGGGACGGTCCTAGGAGGCCAGGTCAAGAACAGACGAGAAGGGGCCGTCCCGAGGTGGAGATGCACTGGTCCGTTCATTCCCTACTGGGGCAAGGTGGGGTGTGCCAGGGTGAGGTGGGCCACCTGGGCACCCAGGGAAGCAGGAAAGGTGCAAGACAGAGGTGTGATTACCAAAGGTTTTTGTTTGTTTATTTCCACACCTTAAAGCCATCAGTCAGTTCATCCCTCCTAAGAGTTTTAAGGACTGGAACTTCCTGCTCAGTCGCCACAGTGGTGTAGCATCCGACCAGCTGTTTCCCAGTGTCTTTGCAAAGGAAGTAAAAATAAATCCCTGCCAGAGGGAAGGGAAGCCTACAGGATGCTGGATTGTGGTGCTGGGTGCCTGAGCCCACCGTGGCCCCGAAGGCCGGGGTCCTGCAGGGAGGCTGTACCCCAGCTCCCAGCAAGGCTCAGACAAGATGTCAGTGCTGCAGAAACAGCTTTGAGGCTCAAGTACAAAGCGCCCTCAGCCCAGGCACAGCACTGGGCGCGGTGGCTGTGACAGGCTATGGAGGCCTGGCTTTGCCGGGTAGTCACGGCCTGTCTGCTCTTCCCACCAGGTACCGCCTGATGCTGCAATGCTGGAAGCAGGAAGCAGACAAGAGACCGGTATTTGCCGACATCAGCAAAGAGCTGGAGAAGATGATGGTTAAGAGCAGAGTGAGTGCCCAGAGCTGGTTCCCACAGGCGGGACGTGGCGTGGGGGTTCCAGCCTCACCCCAGGGCCCTCAGAATTCGCAATGCGGGGCCAGACTGGGGCCATGCAGGAGGAGGAAAATATTCCAAAGCCAAGGGAAACCATGCTCAGTAGTGGAACCTGAGGAAGTGGAGTTGAGTCATGTCCTTAGTGCAGATGCTCACAGGGTGCTGCTGGGGGTGGGCAGAGACTAGAGAGCGGGGGGACTGCGGAGCACACAAGAGCATGCTGCCCTCACAAGGGTCCTCGCTGCGCCTGAGGGTGGCCTGCAGGAAGACGAGCCAGGAATGTGCCAGGTCTTCTGAATTCTCCAAGGCTTATGTGAAGTCTCCCAGTTTTTATTGTTAACAACTCATTTAAATATTCAAAAGCCCAGCTTGGGCCAAACAGAGAGCCAGCCTGTGTACCTTCTTCAGTTTGCAATTCTGTAAGTCCAGAACATAAGAAGGTCAGCAAATTCTCAACTGATCCTTATCAAGCAACTGTAAGGAACCATATTCAGTCTCGGATTTTGGGACTGCAAGTAAGCAAGACCTCCCAGCCCTGCCCTCAGGATGTTTATGTAGAGGCTTCACCTTAACATTGGCACATTTACTAAGAGTTGTCACTTCTTCTGACACAAAAAGCAGGATGCAGGATCTAGGCCGCCTGTAATAAAACTTCATATCACTGTATCGCTTGGGCAAAAACCTCTGAATGCTGGGAATACAGGGTTGTCCTGAACAGAAGGGATGGCTGATGCCAAGGGGAGCTGGCCTTGCTGGGACAGTGCTGAGAAGCAGCCGGAAAATGCCAGAGCTCTTCTGTGCACATTCGTCCAGGCAGTGGCAGTAGCAGGCACAGGGGAACCCTCGTGCTTGGGAGCTGCAGCCTGTAGCAGCAGCGTCCTGTGCAGACCCGACAACGGTGTCGTATTTCAGATGTCTGAGCCCTGACAGGGTGTTCTAGATGGCAGGGGTCCCTAGAAGGAAGCTGAAAAGCGTCCTGTAGGTGGGGACTGCTTCTTGGTTCCTGTTGCTTCCGTGTGAGTAACGTGGCTGCAAGCTCTCCCAGAGCCAAGGGCTGTCAACAGGCGGTTCCGGTACATGCCAGGCCCTGGAGATAGGACGCTGAGGGAGCACATTTCTGTCCCCAGGGAGGTGACTTTCTAGGGGGAGAGACAGAGTAGATAACGCCTGGGGGGAGTGATGAGGATCCCTGAGTGGGACCAGATGAGGCAGCAGCCATAGGAGCTCGGAGAGACGGGGAGACTCGTGCAGGGTGGGGGCACATCCAGGACCTCAGCAAGGGGACCAGGGTGTGTCCAGTGGTGGCCCACGGTAGGGGCTGACGAGCCACCTCTCTCTTTCAGGACTACTTGGACCTTGCTGCGTCCACCCCATCCGACTCCCTGCTTTATGAGGACGGCCTGTCGGAAGAGGAGACGCCCCTGGTGGACTGTAATAGCGCTCCCCTCCCTCGAGCCCTCCCTTCCACATGGATTGAAAACAAACTCTATGGTAGAATTTCCCATGCATTTACTAGATTCTAGCACCGTTGTCCCCCTGCTCTATCCTTACTCTTGGTGATGCTTTTTAAGGTGTTTCTGATCTGAACGAAACCAAAGTCTGCTCTGAACCTTTTTATTTGTAAATGTCTGACTTTGCATCTAGTTTACATTCAGGCATTTTTGCAGCTATGTTTTTCTAAAAGGATGTGAAAATAAGTGTAATTACCACACTGCCCAGCAATTTATGATGCCAGAGGAGAAAACGCATAGGGCAGAACTCTCAGGGGAGGTGGAGAACTTGACGAATGAGTCATTTCCGGGGTAGAAATCAAGTCTCAGTACGTCTAATTTAACTACTTGGATAAATTTACCCAATCTGGGGAGGTATTTAATTGAGAAAGAAGCAGCCAGCACCCACCGGCCCGCACGGCGAACACAGCCAGGCCCCCTATCCTGGGTGGGCGGGTGCCTCGGAGGCTGCCCAGGGCTGGGAGTGGAGGTTGGCCCAGCCTCAGCCCATGTCCCAACTGCGTGTCCCCGGCAGGGGCAGGGAGGTGGCAGGAGCCGGGCGGGCCTGGGAGGACACACCCAGACTGCTGTTTTCACATCCTTTGCGTTACCCACCGTCAGGACCGTTATCACTTACAAAGCGCTAAAAGCTGGAGCGAGTGCTTTTTGAAAGAACGTAGTCTGTGGTGCTGTGGTCTTGCAATGGACAGTAAATATGGTTCTTGCCAAAACTCCTTCTTTTGTCTTCGATTAAATACTTGAAATTTTTTCCGTTTCCTAACCTCATCATTGATTGTTGTGAACTCTTGGAGTCTCAAGCATTTTTCAAGCCGAGATTGTTCCTTTCGCATGCCTCCCGACTCACTGACTCCTCGCTGGCTTTGGGTCTGGCGCCACACTCCACGTGTGCTGACGGTGCTGTGGGGCTGGCCTGTGTGTGCCCTCGATTTGGAAGGCCCTCTCCCCCCTCGTAGGCTTGGACGACAGTCGAGTGCCTCCTTTACGGTAGAGAACGTTTTATAGAACGTTCTGCTGCAGTGAGCCGCTTTACACAGCCGTAGAAAAAGAGTTAAACAGTTCAACAACTGGACGTCAGATCTGAGAGTCTAAAGCTCGTGAAAGTCAAAATTGGTAGTGTCTGTTAAGTTACATTTACGAAGAGAGCACGTGATGTTTCCCCTAAATAATAACAATGTTTTGGAAACCTGGAGCACAAAACCGTTAATGTAATTGGCACAGAGACCACGAGTTTGGTTTGAACATCAAAGGGAGTTTTGCCAAGGCCTTACTGTCTGCACATGAAGTTTTGGTTCTTCAGTGCAGAACAAATTATCTGTTTTCATTTTTAGGCATGTCAGACCCGAACTGGCCTGGAGAGAGTCCTGTACCACTCACGAGAGCCGATGGCACTAACACTGGGTTTCCAAGATATGCAAATGATAGTGTATATGCTAACTGGATGGTTTCACCCTCAGCGGCAAAATTAATGGACACGTTTGATAGTTAACATTTCTTTGTGAAAGGTAATGGACTCACAAGGGGAAGAAACATGCCGAGAATGGAAAGTCCACTGGCCCTTTCTTTGCGCACATCACACTGGCCAAGCCAAGTTCTGTTCCCAGGTGGCAGGCACGTTTTTCGTAATTTGTTTCAACTGCTTTCTGAAGTGGTTTTATTTCCAACAGCCAGTGATTTTCCCTCCTAGCAGACACGCCACACTGGGTAAGACTTCTGAGTCTTAGTGGTTAAATATTCCTTTCTCTTCTGCACCCAGCAGCACCCAGTGTTGGTCTGCGTCCATCGGTGACCACCACAGTTCTGCGTTCACATGTGTGGGGCCACCACTCCCTTCCGTGTAGACGAAATTGTACCCGAACTTGATTTTTCTGACTGCTACCAAATAAGGCAACAAGATCTAAACACGAAGCACACGCACACAAAAGGCAGTAGGAAAAAAAATGGCCAAAGTGACTGTCCTTGTTCAGAATGAGAGCCCCGCGGGGCCTGGGCGGTGGTGTCAAAGCCCCACCAGGGCTAGAGGGGAAGAGGGGACCTCAGGATGGTGCTTGGCTCGGCGTTCGAGATCCTGAGAATGGTTTTTTAAAATCATATAACCTTTTCTTAGGAAGACATTTGGTTTTTTTCATGATTAAGATGATTCTTAGATTTAGCACAATGGAGAGATGCGATGTCATATTTACCACGTAGATGGTGGCGTGAGGGAAGAGGGCTCACAAGACACATTTGTCTCGAGTGGGCCCACCATATCAGCCCCACGCGTTCAGTACTGAGTGACCACTACCCCTGACCAGAACAGCGTGAAGAAAGGGGGCTTCTGGAGTGGAATGACCCCCATTCCCAGGACTGCTGATGGCAGAGGCTTTGCTGCTGCGAATCCCACCCGCCGCCAACCTTCACCGCGCCCACAGCCAGCAGAGTCCAGAGCAGTGGCTCATCTTACACGGTAGGAGTAGGTGGGACCTGTGCTCACATTCATTCAAACCGTATCAACTGGCTCACACAGGGACAGCTCAGCTAGCTGTGTTAGAAGTAGCATTGACAATGACCAAGGACCGCTACACCTCCGATGACAATTCTGACGTGGAGAAGACGATGTTTTGGCTCTCATAGAGCTTGTGTGAAAAGGCACATATGTCAACTCTTCCTGGGTTTGTGATTTAATGCTGCTATCGCAAGACATCTGTGTTTCTTAGATTCTGACCATGACTCATAAGCTTCTTATCATTCTTCACTGCTTGTTTGTGGACACAGACACTCAACACCCCTCCTGTCTTGTGGGCGTGGCTTTTGGGAAGTCGTAGCAGCTCTTCTGGCTGTCTCAGCACCATAACTGTGCAGAAACACTGCCTGGTCCTCAGACTCAAAGCACTGTGATAGGACTTAAAATAGTCTCATTAAAATACTGTATTTTATAGGCACTTCACAAAAGCAGTAAAATTGTGGCATTTTGTGTGGCCAAGAAGGCTTGGATGAGCATATGACGGAGCCTTCTGGTGTGTGTGTGCACATGTGAGCACACACATCCAGAGAGGGAGCTGGAAAAATAATTCCTGGACATGTAACGTGGCTTTAGTTTGGGCCATTTTTCAGATACACTGTGATAAGTTCTTCTACAGATACCAATAGACATGGTAAACTTTTGATTTTCAGATGTGTTTAATGATAGTGTTATTAAATGCATAAATAAGGATAAACTCTTCCAAATTGTTAAAAAAAAAAAAGCCTATGCAGTAAGTATGAATTGCTACAGCAGGTTCGTTCTCAGCGGGGTAAGAACTCCAAGTGTAAACAGCTGACCCAGTGACAGGGAATTAACCTTTAACTAATAACCTAATTGCCTATTCCTGAGTTATAAAAGTATCCTTATAGTATACTTATTAGTAAGTATACTTATTAGTCCTATCAGAATTTTCATAGACATATATGCAGAAGTTACTAAATATTAAGTATTACCGAGTATCAAGTAGCAATCTGTCAGTTAGTAAAATTTGTAAAATCTATTTGTGAAAGGTTATTAAGTCATACCGTGTTAATTTTTTTGTAATCAAGGTGACTAAGAAAATAATTTCAGTTGTATAAATAAAATCATGTATCATAAAATGTGTAAACTTTTTTTCTTTTTAACTTCCTAGTTGGAAACATCAGATTTCTGATTTCGAAGTTTCCATACAAGAATTAAAATGCCACAAGGGAATCTCTCATGATAACCACTGGGGATCAGTAGTGAGGGCTGGAGCTCTGGCGATGTTACTGGCTTATCTTGTATGATTGGCATGTGAATAGGCACATGATAATAACTGTTAACAACTCAGCTACCTGTTCCAGGAATTCCTGCCTGCAGGTGTCCTTCCCTAGAACAAAGCACAGCCAACATGGAGTTTAGGTCTTCTCAGTTCTCTAGCAATGTGCTTGCTGCTGGTTTCTGGAAGCTGACGTTGGAGCTGTGGGAGACAGGGTGTGTAATAAAATGCAGAGTCCTGAATGAACTTCCATTAGAAGTTGGAGAAAAAACATTGTCCTGAACTACTGTAAGCTTAACATACTAACCGTTTGTGTCTCCTCTCGGATTGTGTGGGAATTCTCTGAGCCCTCCTCAAGTGCCTGGCAAGGAGCAGGTAAGTCGTCTGGCAGACGGGAATTGTGCATTAGGTGCTGAGGGCTGGTGTCATCTCCCGTGCGTACGTACACGTGTGTACACACTGGCCTGTGCGTGCTTCGCCCAGTGGCTGCCCCGGGCCTTTGAGTCCACACCTCCTGGCCTTGGGTGCCTGTGCTGCCCACAGCTCCACCGCACTTTGCAGTGGCTGGGAGGCAACATAATCTCCAGGGCCAATGTTTGCTTTAGCCTTTACCTCCGAATGTTTAGAAACCCATGGCAAGAAAAGCTGATACTAAAAGCCCCTTTTTCAAGAGCATAGACTCTCCTTTAGGAGTATTTGTGTGTATATGTTTGTTGGTTTTTTCCCCCCTAGAAAAAAAAACACATTTTCCACCAACCTCCACGAAGGATTCCTTCCCACCATGAGGCCAGCTTATCTGGGTGGAAATCTAGTTAAACGTGTCTGGGAACAGGGCTTGAGTAAGTGCTTACTATATAAAAGAAAATTTGAAGGGAAAGCATAATTTCCACCAATATAAAGAAAGCCTTCCCCCCTCCCGCAGGCAGGCAGAGCGGTGAGCAGTTCTTCTTCCTTGGGGCATATTCATGCACAGTATACAGACACACCTCGTTTTCTTGTGCTTCATTTTATTGCTTTTTTTTAAATGAATTGTAGGTTTGCAGCAACCCTATGTTGAGCAAGTCAATCAGTGCCATTTTTCCAACAGCATGTACTCACTGTGTGTCTGTCAGCTTTTTTTAGCAATAAAATAATTTTAAATTAAGGTATGTGTATTGTTTTTTAGACATAATGCTATTGTATACATAATAGACTACCGGATAGTGTAAACATAACTTCTATATGTACTGGGAAACCAAAAAATTCATGTGACTCATTTATTTGTGATATTCACTTTGTTGAGGTTGTCTCGAATGGAACTCGCAATCTCTCTGAGGTATGTCTGTCTTTAGCTGCCCTCACAACTGGAGGGTGGTTCTAGGAAGTCCTAAGAAATCCTTACTGGCCAGGCGCGTGGCTCATGCCTGTAATCCCAACACTCTGGGAGGCCAAGGCAGGAGGATCACTTGAGCTCAGGAGTTCGAGACCAGCCTGAGCAAGAGCAAAACCCCATCTCTACTAAAAATAGAAAAATTAGCCCGGCGAGGTGGCGCACACCTATTGTCCCAGCTACTCAGGAGGCTGAGGCAAGGAGGATCGCTTGAGCCCAGGAATTTGAGGTTGCTGTGAGCTAGGCTGACGCCACGGCATGGCACTCTAGCCCAGGCAACAGAGCGAGACTCTGTCTCCAAAAAAAAAAGAAAGAAATCCTTACCTCTGTGGCCCCAGAAAAGGTACAGGAGTGCATGTGGCCATGCAGCAGTGGGCGGGTACCCCTCTGGTCTTCAGCATGAGGGGTGTGTTCTCTGCCTGTGCATCCACAGGAAAAGCACCCTCTCCACTGGGGCTGCCTGCCATGTGTCTGTGGCAGCTGCCTTGACCAGAACTTTATAGCAGAGGGGGAGGGGATCTCGCTGTGGAGACGTCAATGTGGCAGGGAACTGGGCCAGCCAGCGTGGAGGGAGCCTGAGGCCTGAGAACCCCCAACCACTGTGACTAGCACACCGGGAGAGCTCGTAAACCCGCATCCTCTCTGATGACACTGAGCCATTCAAGGTAGAAATTGGTCTTGGCAAGAAAGGTAAGCGACTTCTAAAGCTAAAAAAAATCATTTTTCATTTCTGAGAAGGAAACAATTCTGATATATCATATGCAGACAATATTACTATGTGAACTGTCCGTTTCGTGAATAAAAATATGAAGTTCACGTTGAGTGTCCATGTTTTTGTGGATCTTTGTCAATGTCATAAGCAGGACACGTCTCACCTGCACTGCAATCCTTTTCCGTACTTCCCTTGGGGAAGGAGTCTCTGGGTGTCTGGAAGGGTCTAGTCCAAGGGAAGGAAGAACATATGGCTGCCTGTGCTCCCTGAGGCAAGGCACGGTGGCCAAGGGACTACAGGGAGCTGGGCAGCACCTGCATCATAGCCCGAGTCCTGGGGCCTCCTCTCTCACCAAGACGCACGACTTACTCCATATTTTGTGCTTTTCTTCTGGGAATTTTAAAGAGCTTGAGAGTTTTCCTGGAGACGCTGTGGCCACAGGGCTGAGAGGCTGAAGCTCTTGGATCACTCAGACCTAGGGTAAAGGGGCACACCGAGGGTTTGGGGGACTTCATCAGTGTCTGGAAAGAAAAGTGAGGTTATAGCAAGTGATTTCTAGGAATAGGAATGACACCAGGGATAGAAGAATTCTGGTGTCTCACAAGATAGTCACTAGAAAAGTAGCGTGTTGTAGAAAATTGTGTTTTTACAGAGATGTCCAAAAA